GGAAGGAAGGAAGGAAGGAAGGAAGGAAGGAAGGAAGGAAGGAAGGAAGGAGGGAGGGAGGGAGGGAGGGAGGGAGGGAGGGAGGGAGGGAAGGAAGGAGGGAAGGAGAGAAGGAAGGAAGGAAAGAAGAAAAGGAGGAAGGAAGGGAGGGAGGGAGGGAAGAAAAGAGGCAGGTATTTGACATAAAAATGCAATAACATATAAAATAGCAATGCAATGTGGAATGGTAGTTTTTCTTATAGAAAATAAGGGTAATAAAATTATCTTAAACCAAGAAATATGAAAAAGGAAAGCAAAGAAGAGAACCAGGACAGGACTACTAGCTAAGTGTTGAAGCTGTCTGGTATGAAATGCTAAGTACACTAGTGTATAATGTATACTTGGTGGAAAAAACAAAGCGTGAGAATAAGCCAGATGGAATATAACCTCACCAAACTTCTAACAAGTTTGGAACAAGGCTACATACCATATCCTACAGGAAGAATAAAAGTAAAGGAAAGGTGCCATCTCTACTGAATAGGGAGTCCTAACAAAAAGGCTTCAAAAGCACTCTGTATCTTTAATAATATAAAAAGGCTAGGACACAAACAGCATAATCTAAAATGCCATTAGAAATACTTCACATACAAAAAGGTCTAAGTAAAGCAGGATTTTATAAAGTGATCAAAAAAGAAACACTAAGGGGGAAAACTCTTTTAAGATTAAAGAGGTTTTTCAAAGGACAAGTTGAAGTGGCTGTAAAATTTATGAGGCAGCATTAAACTTCAGTTCTAAGTAACAATAAATTATTCACTATAAAAACATACATGTGTCAAATATTATAAGCCTCTTAAACTTTTTAAAACAATTTCTTGCAGAACTGATTAGATATATTAGGTCAAGATTAGCAGATACTAACTTTTTCATTAGCACACTATGATCACTCAGAGTAAAGGAGCAAATTTAGAAAAGAACTATGAAGATAGAACCATCAGTGGCCAAGTCAGCACATCTGATCTGATGGCACACACTATATAGTTCACCTTAACATCAGTTTTCTTGGCTTTAGCTAAAGTAAATGTTAGTTTCATTTTTAAATGCCTTCATGGATGTAAAACTACAAATATCTGTTAACTAATATACATGCGGTCTAAAATTTTAAAAAATAATCAAGTTAAAACGATTAAATTAAAAGAAACATAAGATCCCCAGAGATGTTTTGTTTTGGCAGCCCTTGTTGACCTTAGTGATTCTGACATTTGACAGAAGGATATTTTAAGAATGTCCTTTCCAGCTCCTTCACTGTCATATTCCTCACAGCATGTGAAGGGAATTGCTATAACCTACATCCAAGCTTCTCTCCATGTTTTCTAAAATTTATGCTTCCCTCAACGTTTTCTGAAATGTTAAAAAGAAAAAAAAATCCTCTTAGGCCATTTCCTCTGCCACAATATACCTGTCTCAAAGGGATTTTGTACAGATTAAATTAAATATGTGGCAGTGCCTAACACAATCTATTCATTCATGCATGCATGCACTCTTGAATGTATACACCTACAGAATTCCTAACACACTCCTGCCCAGTGCTAGGAGCTGGAAATACAGCACACAGCAAAAACACAAGTTCCTAACTCATGAAATTCACAATCTAGCACCCGGGACAGATAGTAAGCCTCTACACACGGGATGAATGCAACAAAGCAACACAGAGTGCTAAAGGAGTAAATAACGGGGTCACCTAAACTGACTTGGGATATCAGATAAGGCTTATTTCACGTTTCGATCTCTGAAGGATAGGTAGGACTCACCAGGGCCACAAGAGTGCCTGATTTTCCCATCACTTATTATATAACTGACAACAAATGCCTCATACTCTAGTAATCCTTTTGCATTAAAACACCATTTAATAATAGGTACCAAGAAAGAGAATTAAATTTTTTTTAGAATTGTGGGGATTTTATGTTTTCATTTCTCAAAAAAGTCAATGAGTAATAATTGAAGAATATTCTCACTGTATTTTCTCAATCTTTATCCTATGTTCGAAAGAAGAAAAAGTCTATTCACCTGGACTCCCTGGAAATTTCAAGTCTATTTCCTACCCTGAACCCTTCTCTTACACACCTGAATCCCTGCAAATACTTCCACGACTACCCATGACCACTGCACTGAAACTATCCATGTGCTCATCTCTCTCCCACATTTATCTAAAGCAATGTTTATAAATCAAACGTCTGGAGGACTTAACAAATGAGTGATTATACTGCCAGATAGAAGGATATCCTTCAGTTCTACAATGACATAGCATCTCTCCCCCTCTGTTTGTTTTTTGTTCACAGATAAGGTCTCATTATATTGCTCAGGCTGGCCTAACACTCCAGGACCCATGCAATCCTCCTGCTTCAGCCTCTTGAATAGCTAGTACCAGAGACACACACACTGTGCCCAATCCTCTCCTCTTCTTAAATCATATGATCCCTCTTCTCTACCTTTCTTCTTTCACTTAATAGTACATAAAAATAGAAAAACAAATACTTCATTTTCTTCTTAACCCTACTTAATGGGGAAAGAAAACCTCAAGCTCAGTAACAGATGCAATTGACATCGAATTCGATGTCAGGAATTAGAAGGAAATAGTGAAGGCATATACACTAAGTGGGGTAACCAAGCACTACTTAGCTCCAACCTATGCTGTCTCCTGGAAAGATTTCTAGGTGTCTAGTTTTAAAAAGAAGCCAGAAAGTTGGGCTTTTATATGAAATTCCCCAAATGTTAATTTGGACAACTCATTCAAAAATTGTTAAAGACACTGTTTAAGTCCAACAAAACAAATCCACCCACATGATTCATTCAGTCCAGGAAGACCACACATTTTCAAATTATGCTCTAAGCTCTAAGATACAGGAAACTACTTTAGTTCACCTTTATGCTATAAACTCCACATTCATTATATCTAGGAAGGAACCCAGAATTTAGCTGGACTCTTAGCAGATATTTTGGCAAATAACTGATGTATTTTGCAGCTAACCTAAGAATCATGTTTTTCAGCTAGGGGCAGTGGCTCATGCCTGTAATCCCAGCACTTTGAGAGGCCAAGGCAGGTGGACCACCTGAGGTCAGGAGTTTGAGACCAGCCTGGCCAACATAGTGAAACCCTGTCTCTAATAAAAATACAAAAAATTAGCCAGGCGTAGTGGTGGGTGCCTGTAACCCAGCTACTTGGCAGGCTGATCACACCATTGCACTCCAGCCTGGGCAACAGGAGTGAAACTCCACCTCAAAAAAAAAATCACATTTTTCTTTGCATACAGACCACAATCTCTTTATGCCTCTATATAAAGAAATTGCTTCAAAGGCTACAAAAATTCTACAATTACACATCTGTTAACTGTAATTCTCCTATGAATGTAAAAATACGTATTTAATACTACACTTGCTACAGACTCATCTGTTCATTTCTTTTCACTTTTCTGAACATGCCCTTAATTATTTCACCTCTTCCTTTTTGCCTCCCCATTTTGTTTCTCCCTTCTATTGAAATAATTTCATATGGACTGGATCTCTCACTTTTGTTTATAGTTTTCTACCATAATATCTCAGGTGTAAGAAACATATAAATAGACTTCATCAACTGTGGAGACATTTCAAATTACTAATATCATTTCTATATCTGTTTAAGGAATAAACAAAAAAATTATAGTGGACAAGAAATATTACACTGTTAACAGAAACAAACTTCTAAAATTAAAATTACCAAAAGGATGGTGAGGAATGAGGTATAATGTATGCTACACGGCAAATGGCACTGTCTATAGTTCATCATTTCAAGGAATAAGGCCGAACGGTAAAGTGGAAATTTAACAAAAGTCCAAATTTAAATCTATCCCTTCCCAAAAGCTAAAAATTATGCTATCACAATAATGGCCTTTTTGTATATTTCAAAAATTCAGAAATTTATTTTTCTTTGCACTAAAAAACCCTATTTAATTAAGTTTAATACTCTAGTAAATAAAGCACAGTCTAATGGGGTTTATGCTTACATTATTTTATCAAGTGAAAACAAATATTGTTCAAGATGGATTTGCAAGATGTTATACTTTGTTTAAGTAATTGATCATGCTCTTAATGTATGCTTGTCATAAAGGAAAATACATAATTGTATTATTTAAAGATGCTGAGGCACCACTTGTCAAGCAATCAAAAATATATATGAAGTTAACAGGTGTCTATAAAATGTCTAAAAATATAAAAAAATCTTGAATATGCAAGTAATGGAAAAGTAAGTTAACTACTTACCATTAAAAAACGGAATGTATAAATCAGTTCCAAAGACAGACTAAATGATGAAACACATTCAAAATCCCATTCTCTTAGCATACCTGTAGACATCAGTTGGCGACTGTACCAAAGTGTTGCCTTCTCCAGAAGAAAGTTTCCATGATTCCTTTAATTTGTGTTCACTTGTCTCCAGCTCACCCAGGACCCAGGTTGGTAATCCCTCCGGGCTTGAACCTTTTGCTCGTGCTGGATTTGGTTCATCAAAATAGATGGACTGATTTTTAAAAATTAGAAAAATTATTCTTTCAAAATGTACTATAATAAAACCATTAAAATTTCCATCAAGTTTAAAGTTTGATAACAGCCTTTCAAACACTCAAATTCAATTATATTCAAATATTTTAAAAACTCAATGTACATTGAATTATGAGATATTACAGTACATTAAGTGGATAATATATTTGCATTTTAGTTGCACTCTACTAAGAAATATGATAAACAAAAGTATATAACATAAATCTGATAATGATTTGTATTACAAAAAGAATGTTAGTTACATATGAAATGTTAAATACAAAGAGTTTTTTAAAACTCATCCTTCTCTTCCTCCCTTTTTTTTTCCCTTTGAGATGGAGTCTCACTCTGTCACCCAGGCTGGAGTGCAGTGGCACAATCTCAGCTCACTGCAACCTCCACCTCCCGGGTTCAAGCAGTTCTCCTGCCTCAGCCTCCTGAGTAGCTGAGACTACAGGTGGGTGCCACCATGCCTGGACGGAGTTTTGCTCTTGTTATCCAGGCTGGAGTGCAATGGCGCGATCTCAGCTCACCGCAACCTCCGCCTCCTGGGTTCAGGCAATTCTCCTGCCTCAGCCTCCTGAGTAGCTGGGATTACAGGCACGCACCACCATGCCCAGCTAATTTTTTGTATTTTTAGTAGAGACGGGGTTTCACCATGTTGACCAGGATGGTCTCGATCTCTTGACCTCGTGATCCACCCGCCTCGGCCTCCCAAAGTGCTGGGATTACAGGCTTGAGCCACCGCGCCCGGCCCTTAGAGACGGGCTTTCACAGTGTTAGCCAGGATGGTTTCAACCTCCCAACCTCATAATCTGCCTGCCTCCACCTCCCAAAGTGTTGGAATTACAGGCATGAGCCACTGCACCTCCTGTCTCTTTCTGTAACTACTCATTAACTACTTTACACACACATCCACAAAGAAATGAATGGGAAGAGAAACCACAAACAATGCCACCCAAAAATTAAAATTAGGAATCCCTTCATAAAGTGGAAATAGCAGAGTAAAAACCTGGGATTTAGTTCTGGCCACACTATTTACTAGCTGGGAAACCCAAGACAGTTCTCTAAACTTTCTCATTATTATTATTTGTTAAATAAAGCCCTTCCCTTTGAGTCTATGAAATTAAGAGTGAAGGGAAAAACATGATACAATGTACTCATATCATCACATCTAGATGTGCTTCATAAAATGTTCTACCTTTAGACTGGACACAGTGGCTCACACCTGTAATCCCAGCACTTTGGGAGGCCGAGGCAGGCAGATTACCCGAGGTCAGGAGTTCGAAACCAGCCTGATCAACATGGAGAAACCCATCTCTACTAAAAATACAAAAAATTACCTGGGTGTGGTGGCAGGTGCCTGTAATCCCAGCTACTTGGGAGGCTGAGGCAGGAGAGTCGCTTGAACCCGGGAGGCAGAGATTGCAGTGAGTCGAGATCATGCCATTTTACCGAGCCTGGGCAACAAGAGCAAAACTCTGTCTCAAAAAAACAAAAAGTTCTACCTTTACACATTTCTAAAGAAAACTCTCCATTGACTACATACTCTGCAACAATTCTTCCAAGTCTACATAAAAAACCCTCAAGGCACTGCTCTTTAGGAAGGGATTATGCAAGGCCCTCCACATGTATTGGACATGTGCAGAAATTCCTTTTTAAATGATATAGTCATTAAACTTTTGGCATCGTGCCACAGAAAACAGGAATTATTCTCTAATGTTCAGCATGCCACTTGACTAAATTTGGCTTTAAGTAAACTGATAAAATACAAAAAGTTTTAAAATACATTACACAAGAATTCTACAGTTCATTAAAAAAAAATACATATATATCCTAACAGCAACTCTCAAGTACAGGTATTCAAATACCACACAAACCAAGCTATATTTTATGATTAGGTCCAGGACAGTGAGAATTTATCCACCAAGCATAATAATAACTGCCTTTGTAACAAAGCTGATTTTGACAATGAAATTAATTTAAGTACAGAAAATGACTTTTAAACTCCAACTTACTATTGTCATTTTATTAGAGAAGAAAGGAACTTTTGCAAGTCATGCAATCCAACCTCCATTGAATGTTTAAATAATGTAAATGAAAATTAGAATCTACTGAATTACATAAAATTTATTATTATAATCCAGTGAAGATTAACAAAGAATAAAGGTCAATATAAAAATTTTCATTTTCAGTTTTTTTAGAAACATTGTTAAATACTGAGGGATAAATAAATCAATAAGGATATTCCCCTTATAAGCAATACATGTATTTAATTAAAGGTGGAAAAAAATGAATCAGGAAGAGAAAAACAGTTTTAATGTATCATCTAACACATACGACCTAATAGTATTACCATTCCCCAAAGGAATGATAACTTGTTGCTTTTAAAAAAAAAATGAAACTAATGTGTATCTTTCGTTCACGGATACCTACCATGTATGAAGGTAGACTTTTTAGCGTCCCAGGTTCAGGTCGGTGTGTAAAAGGGCCTTCAAGCACACCTCGTTTAAGCATATGCAGTAACAATTTTGCATACAGGTTCCGATTCTTCCTCCCCATTATTCCTGCACCTGTTCCTGAAGGCTCACACAGCTTTCTAATCCAAAGAGCGCACCTCTGCCGCTCTATAAATACATGAGAACTGTTAGAAACTTGGTTTTTTATAATATGAAACATTCAATTACAAAAACCTATAATAGCATCTGCTTTAGTCTAGAAGAATGACCAACAAACATTTTCTGTTAAAGGCCGGAGAATAAATACTTCAGGCTTCACAGGCCATATGATCTCCGGCTCAACTACTCTGCCACTATAGCGTGAAAGCACTGATAGACTGTAGGCAAACAAACGACATGACTACGTTCCCATAAAACCTGACAAAAAAGACTGTGGGCAGGAGTTGGCCGATGGGCCATTGCCTGCTAACTCCTGGTCTAGAATTTAACTTTATCAAGTAATTGGTAAACAAGGAAGACAAATGCAAAGAAATATTTTCACAAATATAAAGTCTCTAGATTACCATTAAATAACTTTTTTAAATTTTTAATTATTGCCAGTACACTGTAGATATATATGTTTATGCAGTACATATTTTGATACAGGTATGAAATGTGTAATAATCACGTCACGGTAAATGGGGTATCTATCTATCACCTCAAGCATTTATCCTTTGTGTTACAAACAATCCAATTATATTATTTTAGTTATTTTTAAATATGCTGTTAAATTATTATTGACTATAGTCACTCTGCTGTGCTGTCAAATACTAGGTCTTATTCGCTCTGTTTTTGTACCATTAACCACCCATCCTTCCCTCCCCCCAATCCTTGCCTCCCTACCCATCCTTCCAGCCTCTGGAAACCACTCTTCTACTCTCTATCTCCATGAGTTCAATTGTTTTAATTTTTAGCTCCCACAAATGAGTGAGAATATGTAAAGATAGTCTCTCTGTGCCTGGCTTATTTCACTTAACATAATGGCCCCCAGTTGCAGCTATGTGGTTGCAAATGACAGGTCTCATTCTTTTTTATAGCTGAATAGTGCTCCAGTCTGTATGTGCATCACATTTTCTTTTTTTTAAGACAGAGTCTTGCTCTGTTGCCAGGCTGAAGTGCAGTGGCGCAATCTCAGCTTACTGCAACCTCTACCTCCCAGGTTCAAGCCATTCTCCTGCCTCAGCCTCCTGAGTAGCTGAGACTATAGGTGCACACCACCATGCACAGCTAATTTTTGTATTTTTAGTAGAGATGAAGTTTCACATGATCTCTTGATCTCCTGACCTGATGATTTGCCCACCTCAGCCTCTCAAAGTGCTGGGATTACAGGCGCCAGCCACCGTGCCCAGCCTGTATCACTTTTTCTTTATCCATTTGTCTGTTGAGGGACATCTAGATTTCTTCCAAATCTTGGCTACTGTCAATAGTGCTGCAACAAACATGGGAGTGCAGAGATCTCTTCGATATACTGATTTCCTTCCTTTGGGGTATATAACTAGCAGTGGGATTGCTGAATCCTATTGTAGTTCCACTTTCTAGTTTTTCTGAGGAACCTCCAAACTCTTCTCCATAGTCACTGTACTAATTTACATTCCCACCAAAAGTATAGGAGAGTTCCCTTTTCTCCATATCCTTGCTAGCATTTGCTTTTGCCTGTCTTTGGATAAAAGCCATTTTAACTGGGGTGAAATAATACCTCGCTGTAGTTTTATTTCTGTTGCTCTGACGATCAGTGATGCTGAACATCTTGACATATGCCTGCTTACCATTTGTATGTCTTCTTTTGAGAAATGTCTATTTAGATCTTTTGCCCATTTTTAAAGCAGGTTATTTGATTTTTTTGTATAGAGTTGTTTGAGCTCCTTATATATCCTGGTTATTCCCTTGTCAGATGAATAGTCTGAAAAATTTTCTCCCATTCTCTGGGATTGTCTCTTCACTTTGCTGATTGTTTCCTTTGCAGAAGCTTTTTAACTTGATGAGACCCCATTTGTCCATTGTTGCTTTGGTTGCCCGTGCCATCAGGGTATTACTCAAGAAATCTCTGCCCAGACCAATATCCTGAAGATTTTCCCCAATGCTTTCTTTTAGTAGTTTCCTAGATTGAGGCCTTAGATTTCGGTCTTTAATCCATTTTTATTTGATTTTTGTATATGGTAGGAGATAGGAGTCTAGTTTCATTCTTCTGTATATGGATATTGAAAACTTAATATCCATATACAGAAGAATGCCTTTAAAAATGTATTTTTTGCTGTAAAAATTATGTAATCACAGAACAAACTTCATGAAATATTAGGAATATTTGTACAAGAAGAAAATACAAAAGTGAAATTGATAAACTGAAGTAAATGGCACCACTTATTGAAGAGACTGTCCTTTCCCCAGTGTAAGTCCTTCGCACATTTGTCAAAAACGATTTTACTGTATAGATTTGTTTCCAGTTTATCACTCTGCTCCATAATTCTATGTCATTGTTTTTATGCCAGTACAATGACAGTTTGGTTTTAACTGCTCTTTAGTATGATTTGAAGTCAGGTAATGTGATTCCACCAGTTTTATTTTTGCTCAGGATAGCTTTGGCTATTCTGGGTCTTTTGTGGTTTCATATAAATTTTAATTTTTTTTTCTTTATATTTCTGTGAAGAATGCCATTGGTATTTTGATAGGGATTGCACTGAATCTGCAGATTGGTTTGGGTAGTATGGACATTTTAACAATATTGATTCTTCCAGTCGATGAACACAGAGTATCTATTTTTTTGTGTGTCCTCTTCAATTTCTTTCATATACTCAGCCTCCCGAGTAGCTGGGACTATAGGTGTGCAGCTAATTTTTGTATTGTTAGCAGAGACTAGGTTTCACCATGTTGGCCAGGATGGTCTTAATCTCTTGACCTCGTGATACACCCCCCTCAGCCTCCCAAAGTAGGTCTTTTGTGGTTTCATGTAAACAAGTTTCATACACAGCTTCTTTTAGTAGTTTCCTAGTTTGAGACCTAAGTTTTATAGTTTTACATAATGTTTTACAGTTTTCATTGTGGAGATGTTTCACTTCTTTGGTTAATTTCTAAGTATTTTATTTTATTTGTTGTAATTGGAAATGAGATTACTTTCTTGATTTCTTTTTCAGATTGTTTGCTGTTGGCATATAGAAATGCTACTGATTTTTGTATGTTGATTTTGTGCCCTGCATCTTTACTGAATTTGTTTATCTGTTTCAATAGTTTTTTGGTGGAGTCTTTAGGATTTCCAATATAAGATCATAGCATCTTCAAACAAGCGTAATCTGACTTCTTCCTTTCTAATTTGGATGCCCTTTATCTCCTTCTCTTACCTGATTGCTCTAGCTAGAACTTCTAATACTATGTTGAATAACAGTGGTGAAACTGGACAACCTTGTTGTATTCTAGATCTTAAAGGAAAGGCTTTCAGTTTTTCCCCATCTAGTGTAATACTAGCTATGAGTCTATCATATATGAATTTTATTATTTTGAGGAATGTTACTTCAATACCTAGGTTTTTTAGGGTTTTTATCATGCAGGGATATTAAATTTTATCAAATGCTTTTTCAGCATCAATTGAAATGATCATACAGTTTTTGTCCATCATTGTGTTATGATTTACCACATGGATTGATTTGCATATATTGAACCATCCTTGCATCCCTAGAATAAATCCTAGTTGGTCATAATGAATGATCTTTTTAATGTGTTGTTGAATTCTGTTTGCTAGTATTTTGCTGAGGATTTTTGCATTAATGTTCATCAGGGATATTAGCCTATAGTTTTCTTTTTTTGATGTATTTTTATCTAGTTTGGGTATCAGGGTAATACTGGCCTTCTAGAATGACTCTGAAAATATTCCTCCCTCCTATATTTTTTTGAATAGCTTGAGTAGGATTGGTATTAGTTATTCTTTAAATATTTAGTAAAATTCATCAATGAAGTCATCAGGTCCCAGGCTTTTCTTTGCTGGGAGACTTTTTATGAATAAATTTCTGTGATAATATTTTGCTATAATTTTGCATCTCTAAAATAATTTTAGACATATTGAAAAATCTTTCTATAATTTTAATTATGTAAAGATAAAATGCAATCTCTGATTTATTTAAGCATTTTCAACTTTAACATTAAATCTTGAATGTTTTATTCATTAAATCCAATAACATCCCGGGATTTGTAGCTGATTAATTTAGGGTTTTAACATCTTTAAAAATAATTGAGTGCTATTTACATGTCATTTTGTAAAATAATTATTCTTTCCAAAATCTAAAAATTATAGCACAGTTTAATCCACATATAATGGTCTGTATTATTTTGCCATGACACAGGATTGTTTTAGGTCTCATGAAAACTATTCTGGTATTAATTTTTTATCAGTCTAACTCAATTTGAGGATTACATATCTAATGCAAATCATAAATCTGCTCTAATCTTTTAGTTTACAAAGGTCATATTCATTTATTGTTTTACCTACAAAAATCACTAAGGCTGGATTTACTACTTTGCAAATATCATTTTAGGTTGGAAACCTATGCCTTAAAAATGTTTGTATTTTTTGCTGTGAAAATTACATAATCACAAAACAAACTTCATGAAATATTGGGAACACTGTACAAGAAGAAAATGCAAAAGTGAAACTGATACACTTAAGTAAATAGTTTTTCAACTATACACTTTCCATATCCCATAGCAAATTAAAATCTATGTAATATTCTAATGTCCAGAATTTAGTATAATTTGGTTAATGAAAGGATTTATTCCCCTATGTAAAATAATGGGAAAACCCATTATCAAAAGCAGAATTTAGCAATAAGATGCAATTTATTATGAATTTCTACTTCTTAAGATGTGAGTTTCAGATTGCTTATTATAAACTAATTAAATATAAGGAAGCCACAGATGTACCAATACTGACAATGTATCATGGAATCAAAGATTACAATTCATGAATTCTATGTACCTAAAATCTTTTTTTAAAGAAGATAAAATATGAGGATGGTTTGATTTGAAATACATTTGCAATGAGAAAGTTTAATATAAATGTTTCCTAATCAGCAAATCTAAGACAAAAACAAAAAAGGTAGTGAGTATCAGAAGAAGAGGCAATATAAAAACATCATTAAATATCATTCAAATAATCATGAATGAGTCATAGGACATGAAATATTCATTTGAAAAATAGCAGAGGAAGAAAGATGAGGTTAAAGCCCGACAAGGTCAAGAGAAGAAGGCAGAGGAAGTGGTCTTCAAGGGAACACCATGGCAACTTACCCAGGACTGGGAAAGGTTGAAGGCCCTAGAACAATGAGTGACCACAGGATGCATAATTTATATATCATACTCCCTTCTCCTAATGCGACTCACTGGAATAAATACAATAGACTCCGCTTATCCATGTTTTTCTTTCCTCTGTTTCAGTTACTCACACTCAAATGCAGAGGTGAGTACAATAAAATATTTTGAGAGAAAGAGGGAAACTATTTTCACACAATTTTTATTACAGTATATTGTTACAATTGTTCTATTTTATCATTAGCTATTGTTAGTCTCCTACTGTACATAACTGATAAACTAAATTTTATCATCAGTGTGTATGTATAGGAAAAGACAGGGGGCATATAGGTTTTAGAACCATCAGATGTTTCCGGCAGCCTCTGGGAGTCTTGAAATGTATTCCTCAAGAATAAGAGGGAATTGCTATATTAAACACTAGTCAGTTTCTCACTGAAAATAGAGTCCACTCAGATGCCTCGGGGAAATAGGCAACTTGGAAAAAGTAAAAGCCATCATTTCTTGATCTAACTCCAAACCAACCACTCAAAAGCTACCAAGTCACATTTACCTTTACAGTCAACCTTACGCCTACTATAGCTTAGAGAATCTTCCCAGCCCCCAAAATTCTCTCCAATTTCTCTCTAGTGTTTTAAGTTACACGAAAATTCTCTAAGATGAGAAAAAGACTTTCATTCCATAATTAACAGGCCAGGAGACAAGATAGCAGCAAAACTTTATTCACACTGGATTTTGTTGTGCCAACCAGTAAGCATAAAATACCAGCAGATTATTTTCTGCTTTGATAGACAAAAGGGCAGCAGAACAGGAAGACAGTAGGCTCTTCCTGTCTCTGGCCCTTTCCATAGAAAGAAGAAAAATTTTGTAAGAAAAATTTCCATAGAGAAAAGAAAAGGATGCAAGAAATAAGATTGTAGCTAACTTTAGAGATCCATGTGCTATAAGCTCACGACATATGAGAGGAGGCATCACAATAAGATCTTTCCACAGTTTAGCAGGACGTTATCACTGAATTTCTATCTAACCTTGAACAACTCAATGTAAACAATCCTATGTTGATGGCAAAAATTGTTACTAGAGAAATTCAGTTTTTCTTCCATGTTGATACTAAATAATATAAAGAAAAAATTAATCTTAAGAATCTAATTTTCAAACATAATCTTACCTGTCCTATGGGGTAATTTTAAAACAAAGGGCTTCATATCAACCACAAAGTGATCAAACTCTGCATCCAGCTTCTCCCATTTTTCTTCTTCACTTCCCACTTCCATAATCCAATCTGTAAAATATTTTAAATTAAAATATTGAGGGTCTATATGCTGAAAACTACAAAACTGATGAGAGAGACAAAAAAAAAACCCTCCTAAGAGTTAAATATCAGTTCTCCCCAAATTGACCTGCAGATTTAATGCAATTCCAATCAAAACCCAGGAGTATTATTTGTAGAGATAAGCTTAAGTCTAAAATTTACATGATAAGGTAAAGGAACTAAAGAGCCCAAACAATTTTGAAAAAGTACAAAGTTGGAGGACCCACATTACCAGATTTTAAGATGTAATCCAAAGCCACAGTAGTCAAGACAACTGTATTGGTGAAAGGATAGACAGATCAATGGAAAAGATTAGGGAGTCCAGAAAGAGACTAAAACAAACATGAACAACTGATTTTCAACAAAGGTGTGATCCATGAAGAAATGACAGCTATTACAACAAATGATGCCATAACAACTGGATATCCATAAAAAAAAAAAAAAAAAAAAAAAAAATTGAATCTCAACCTAAACTTCATCCTATACATAAAAATTAATATAAATCACAGACCTAAGTGTACATGTCAAACTATAAAACTCTTAGAAGAAAGCACAGGAGGAAATCTTTGCAAACTTGAGTAAAGCAAAGATTTCTTATACACAACCTTAAAATCACTATCCACAAAAGGAAAAACTGGCCAGGCACGATGGTTCATGCCTGTAATCCCAGGAATTTAGGAGGCTGAGACATGAGGATTGCTTGAGCCCAGGACTTCAAGACCTGCCTGGACAACATGGTGAGACCCATCTCTACAAAAAAAATTAAAAATTAGCCAGGTGTAGTGGCAAGTACCTGTAGTCCCAGCTACTTGGGATGCTGAGATTAGAGAATTGCTGAAAAGTGTGAGAGGTCTAGGCTGCGATGGGGCATGATCACACCACTAAACTCTAGCCTCGGTGACAGCAAGACCCTATCTCAAAAATAAAAAATAAAACTGATATATTGAGCTTCACACACACACACACACACACAAACACTTTTGTTCTGCAAAGGACTCTGTTAAGGAACTGAGAAGATAAGTCACAGACCAGAACAAAATATTTGCAAATCATAGATCTCATACAAGACTTGTATTAAGAATACATAAGAAACTCTCAAAACTCAACCATCAGAAAACAACCTTCCAATAATCAGCAAAGAAATTAGTACCTTTACCAAAGAAGAAATACAGATGGCAAGTAAGCACACGACAAGATGTTCAACATCATCAGTCATTACTGAAATGCAAATAAAAACTATACTGAGATACCACTACATCAAGAACACTACACATAAAAATGCAAACAATATCAAGTGCTAGTGAGGATGTACAACAGGAACTCTCATGCATTGTGGGTAGAAGCACAAAATACTACAGGCACTCTGGAAAATAGTTCAGCAGTCTCTTACAAAGATAAACACACACTCAGCCTATGACCCAGAAATCCCACTCCCAGATATTTACCTAAATGAAAAGAAAAATCTATATATACACAAAAATCCAAATGTGATTTTTAAAAAAAATAACCAACGAACAACTGAAAACAGCCCAAATGTCCCTCAACTGGGGACTAGATAAACTGTGGCATATCCATACAATAACATAGTACTTGGCAACAGAAAGGAATGAACTACTGATACACATACAACATGGAAACTTCAAATCCATATGCTAACTGAAAGAAGCCCTTCTCAAAAGGCTGCATACTGTTTAATTCCATTTGTGTGACATTCTTGAAAAGGCAAACAATATAGGCATAAAGAACAGATCAGTAGCTCACGGAGTTAGCAGTGGGGACAGAGTCTGAACACAAAGGGATGACGATCTTGGGTTTCGGAATTGTTCTGTACACTGTCTATAGAGGAAGTTACAAGAACCTACCTACACATGTAAAAACTCCTAGAACTATATGCCAAAAAAGTGCATTTGCTGTATATAAATTTAAATTTTTTAATCCTCTTTAAAAACTGTAAAATATTGGTCATGATACTTCTTTCTAATTAGCAAGAAAAACACTGAATACAACGAGGGTATATTTCAAAAATCAGCAGTGTAGGTTTTGACAAAATTTGTTAAGTTAAAAATACATCCACACTCTACATGTTCCTTTAAATTGTAAAATGTCTTGATAGGGATGTGCACTACCATTGGTACAAATAGTGTCAATTTGTCATTTATTCCTTTTACAAATTCTATATTTGGTGAAAAGCTTTGTTCTGCCTCCTAAGCTATCTTGCTCCACAAACTGCCCTCTCTCTGCTAAACCAGCTTCTAATATTTACCATATTATCAAATGGTTTCCACCATTTTATTATCAACCACCTCTTCATAGAAAGCTCTCTCTACCCAGTCTCTGCAAGTAAACCCTAGCTTTCACTTGCTGACTTTATTTTCCTCAGTCATTAGAGGTGAGCCAAGATCTCTCATAATCACTCTCTCATTCTCTCTCTCTTCCTCCCTCCACTACCCCTTCTCTCATGCATTCTCTGTAGTCTTTCACTTTCTCCACCCAACCATGCAATGGAAGGAAAACACCAACATCCATCCTGCCGCTTCCCAACTACTAGTCTTCCTACCTCGGCCCCAAAATCCCTCATGAGGCTCCAACCATCTGATGACCACGTACTCCCCTTTCTCATCTCTGTCACTTGCAAAGAAACCCTTCTGATACCAGCTTCTTGTCCTCCTAAATGCTCTCTTCTTATCCACTGGATCTTTCCTTTCTCCTTGGCAAGGCTGCACTCCCTTGATGACTTCCTTCATGCTCTACAGGGTTTGCTGGAGAAAAATGGCACTGCCTTACAGTCAGATGGCTTCCAATATTATCTGAAACTCCAGGAGTCTTTTGCTATTTCCTACTCCACAAAGCAGCTTTAAAACTTTTCCCAGATCTCTTTTCAGCCCCTTAAATAACTCTAGCCTCTCCTAATTCTCAATTTAAAAATCATACATCTTGCTTCATGGGAAAAATAATAGTCAGGTGGGACCACCCCTAGATGTTATTCCCCCCACCTCTCAACTTACCTCTCAGAGAAGACGCTCTGACCACCTCTGTTCCTGTATTAGACACAGTAACTCTCCTCTACCTATCCTCTATCAATTGCCTATTCACTATGTAAAATTTTTCATCTCCACTGACTCCTTCCCCTCTGATGGCAGCTTAGAAACATCTCAAAACCTGCCTGCTCTCTATTCTCACTGCCACAATCTCAGATAAAGGCCTGCCCATCATTTACCTGAACTACTACAACAGCCTCATCATCTGTCTCCATACTGACAACTTTCTCTACTTGTGTCCATTTTCCTCACCTGTTCCAGAATGAGTTTCCTAATGACAAAGCTAAGCCTATCACTTCCTGTTTAAAAATCTCCCCTCGTTCTAGCATTCCATCCACCAGATTCACTTACTTTCTCCCATTCATCAACTTCCATCCAGATCTCACCCCTCTTTCATCTCCATCATGGTAGCAAAAATCTTTCAAAGTTCACCAGTGATCCACTAATTGCCAAATCCAAAGGGCTATCTGCAGTTTGCATCCCATTTGATATCTCCACAGCATCTTCCACTTCTGACAACTCCCTACTCCTAGAACCTCTTCTTTGATTTCAGTAGTTCCACTCACTCCTGGGTGCCCTACTGCCTCAGATCATTCCTTCCTGGTCTCTCAGTGGTTCTGGCTTCTTCGGTCAATATTAAATCAGGACCCTCCAGGGCTCTCTCCTTAGTCTCCTTCTGATCTGACTTTTCCCACTCCCTTAGTGACTGCGTTCAGTACCATCACTTCAAGTATTCATTTCATGCCATTCACCCTTAAATTTTATTTCAAATTCTAGCCTCTCTTTGCAACTCCAGACTCATTTACAATAGCCTCCTGAACCTTTTCAATAATGTCCAATAATGTCCCATGTTTCAATAATGTTACCTAGATTTATATGTCCAAGAGAAAATCCTTCATGTTTCTCTCCATCAATCTATTCTATGTTGTACTCTGCTTGATGACATCATCATCTACCTCATCTACCAAGCTAAGAAGTTTCAATGGTCGCATTCTCTAAACCCCAATAAATGCTGAGAAATATCTCAAAATCTGCCTGCTTCTGTTTTCTCACTGCCACGATCTCAGATAAAGTCCTGCCCACCACTTATTTGAACTACTGCAGCCACCTAATCATCTGTCTCCCTACTGAGTTTTCTCTACTTGAGTCCATTTTCCTCACCTATTCCAGAATGAGTTTCCTAATGACAAAGCTAAGCCTATGACTTCATGTTTAAAAGTCTCTCATGACTGCCTAAAACAATACAATCCAAACCCAAAGTTAGGCATACAAGTACCTTTGCATGTAAGCCTCTCACATCACACACACAAACACACACACACCCTCCAAACCCTTATCCAATCCCACACCCTTTTCACAGGCTATTCCCTCTACCTGGACTCAGGTAAATGTGGCTTAAATGTCACCTGAGTGAAGCTGGCCCCACTTATCCTAGACTGGTTATTGTTCTGTTCTCAGTGTAAACTGTTCACATCTTTATAACAGCACTTATCATGCTGTTTTTTGTTTTTGTTTTTTTGAGATGGAGTTTTGTTCTTGTTGTCTAGGCTGGAGTACAATAGTATGATCTCAGCTTACCGCAACCTCTGCCTCCCAGGTTCAGCGATTCTCCTGCCTCAGCCTCCCTCAGCCTTCCAAGTAACTGGGATTACAGGCGCCCACTACCACACCTGGCTAATTTTGTACTTCTAGCAGAGACTGGGTTACTCCATGTTGGTCAGGCTGGTCTCGAACTCCCAACCTCAGGTGATCCACCCACCTCAGAATCCCAAAG